AAAAAAAAAAAAATTATATCCACAGAGAGACATCAAAATGAATATTGTGAATAACTCCTTGACAACACATTTAAAAATCTAATAGAAATAGGTTTTATTTCTTTTCTTTTCTTTTTTTGGGTGGTGCTGGGGATTGAACCCAGGGGCCTTATGCATTCAAAGCAAGCACTCTATTAACTAAGCTATATCCTCAACCCATAGAAAATAGATTTTCTACAAAAGCAAAGTATTAGATAAAAGCATCTGCAACATAAACAACAACAATATTTTTGAGCCCCCAAAAAGAAAATGACTACAACATAATAAAATGTGGAGAAAGACTATGAAGCAGGAATTCATATCATCAGGAACTTTATTAGGTTAATAAACCAAAAATGAGGTGTATGCTTAGAAGTAACCAGAAGAACACCAGCAATATGTGGGTAGACCTGGTCTGCCTTTTTCTTTGCCCCATATCCCATTCATCACACTGTTGGGTATTAACAGCATTGTCAACAAATAAGACATAATTCAAAATAATGGCTGGGTGTGGTGGTGCACACTTGTAATCCCAGCAGTTTGGGAAGCTGAGGCAGGAGGATCATGAGTTCAAAGCCAGCTTCAGCAATGGTGAGGCGGTAGGCAACTCAGTGAGACCCTGTCTCTAAGTAAAATCCAAAATAGGGCTGGGGATGTGGCCCAGTGGCTGAGTGCCCCTGAGTTCAATCCCCAGTACCAAATAATAATAATAATAATAATAAATAAATAAAAATAATGTAATGGATCGCTCAGTCTTCAAAAATAGCAAATAAGACTCCAGACAATAATGTAATCCTAGCTACTGAGTCAGGAGGATCACAAGCTCAAGGTCAGCCTGTGTAACTTAGCAAGATCCTGTCTCCAAAATTAAAAGGGCTGAGGATGTGGCTAGGGTTGTAGCTCGGTGGTAGAATGCTTGCCTAGCATAAGTATAAATTACTCAAGCTGGATGGGTCTGAGGATTCAGAATGAGATCTTGTTTATAACATTTATGCCCTTTGACCTGACACCTGCACTGACAGGGTTTGCTAAATAACTCATAACCTCTCTCAACTGCAGCTACCTTCACCTTAAAGTGGAACACCATTACAACCTACCGTATGGGATGCATTTGTAATGCCAGATTCATGGGACCTCAGTAGACCTCCAGGAGCCGAATCCGATGCAATCACAAGAGTCTTTATTGCCAGCTCGAGCCTGGACTCACAACCGTTCCCGATGCAATGGTCCCGGTCCTTTGTCCAGGGAGATTTTATAGGTTTTGGGGGATACTCTGTGCATCACAACATCACACAGCAAATCATTCCATACCGCAGGAAAGTCAAACAACAACTCTTTTTTTTTTTTTATTGGTTGTTCAAAACATTACAAAGCTCTTGACATATCATTTCATACATTAGATTCAAGTGGGTTATGACAACAACTCTTTTTTTTAAAATATATTTTTTTAAAGAGAGAGTGGGAGAGGAGAGAGAGAATTTTTTTAATATTTATTTATTTTTTTTAGTTTTCGGCGGACACAACATCTTTGTTTGTATGTGGTGCTGAGGATCGAACCCGGGCCGCACGCATGCCAGGCGAGCGCGCTACCGCTTGAGCCACATCCCCAGTCCATGACCAACTCTTAACATTGATTAGCACATTCACTGGCAGGAACAAGTTGGGTAAAGGTGATTGGCTAGTACAAGAGGGGGGGTTCCTTTGAACTGATTAGTTTAAACCACAAGGGGTGTACTTACTAAACTACATGGTTTCCCAACATGTTATCAACCACCATAAACTACTGGGGGTCATCTGGCGTCCCAGGTATTTCCCTGTCTCATGCTGATTGGTGGTTGCTAGGGGGTTGCTATGGGTCCTCACCTAGCCTGACTGAGTCAGGGACACCTGGTGCAGCAGATCTCTCCTGTTATTTGTAGACAAACAACTCAGCAGGTGGGTATGTGCTTAGGAGTGCTCTGTGGGTTTTTCCAAGGACAAAGGTCACACCCACTTCCTTTGTCAGGCTTTGTGCTGAGGTAGAGGCTGGTTTCTCAAAAATGGAGTCCCACTAGTTTCTCACATGAAAGGGTAAGATAAGGTGTCGATTGAAAAGTACCAGCCCTAGCTTGGCCCCCAGGCACCCCATGAGTGTTCTCAGACACAAGTTTATTCCTATAGTTGTTTATGATGATTCTCTCAAATGACAGGCAAGACAGACAACATGTCTGTCAGGAGCTGCCACATAGGAACCAAATGCCCCTTAGCCTTGAGCAATGAGAATGTGGAGATGTGACAAGCCAGCCATGGGGTGTGTGTGTGTGTGTGTGTGTGTGTGAGAACTACGAGCATTGAGTGCCAAAGTGGACTGAACCCACGTTGCCCTCTGTTTGGGTGGGCCTTGCTCGGTCTTTTCGCTGGCTCTGCCTGTGATCCCCACACAGCTCATGAGATGGGCATGACCTCCCTAGATGTCAGTCGGCCTGCTGACAGTAGACAACACAAAGCTAGACTCAACCCCCTGGAACCTGACCCCTGGCCTCATTTGAATAGCTTCTCCCCAATAAAAGGGTTCAGCTCCTCTCTCTCTTTCCACGGACATCTAAGATCAGAGGAGCTGTCACAAGACCCAAGAAAATGGTATTTCTCGGGCTGGGGATGTGGCTCAAGCGGTAGCGCGCTCGCCTGGCATGCGTGCGGCCCAGGTTCGATCCTCAGTACCACATACAAAGATGTTGTGTCCACCAATAACTAAAAAATAAATATTAAAAAAATTCTCTCTCTCTCTTTAAAAAAAAAAAGAAAGAAAAAGAAAATGGTATTTCTGTGTCTCTGTGTGATTGTTTCATGCCAGCCCAGTTCACCTGGAGTGACCTTAAGTGTTTAGTCGTGGGATGTGATACATGTCCACTCTGCAGATGAAGAAACTGAGGCCCTGAGTGACATCAGAGCAAAGATGCCAAAAGCAAAGACACTAGTTAACCCTTATGGGAAAATTTCCTTTCCCCTTTCTAGATAAACATCCTTCAAGGTAACATCCTTTCAAACATCCTTCAAGGTAAATATGGGGTAGACATCTGCCCCATTTTAAATTAGAGGAAACTGAGGCATGTGGGTGGGGGCAGGTGGTTCTAGGGACTTGCCCCAGGTCATGCAGCCAATAAGTGGCTGCCTTTCTTCATGCTGCAAGTTCTGGGATCCAAAGACAGGTTCAAATCTACCACCATTCCCACTCTCCTCTGCATCTGGAACATGTCACCTGGTAATCTGTTCACTGGTGGTTTCCTCAGTCCACATTTCAGATGCTGGCTTTTTCTGATAGTAGGAAATACAGTGACATGGCCTCACTGCCCAGGACTCCTCAAACTTCTTGCCACAGGAATGCAACATTGCTTATTTGCAGACAACTAAAATTTAACACCCACTCACAGTGTGGTACATGCAAAAATCCTGATACCTGGACAAAGGGTAGCACGAGATTAAGGGCGACCTTGTGCAGGAGCTCGGGGAAGCCTAGCGAGCACGGCTTGTCAGATCTCAATAGATGGTCATAAGACACGACAGGCACAGGACCACAGCGGAGGTGGCCAGCACCCACCTCTGCTGTTTCATACATGCACTCCAACCTCCCCCTGGGCTGCGATCTGCTTTCAGAGGGTACAAAGACCTTAATGTAACAATGACCTACTAAGTTCATGGCAGGAGAGCCATCCCGAGGGCCAGCCTCTGTTGCTAGGTGCCCACTGTCAAATGATATCAGACCTTTTGTGTACCGGGGGGAGCAAGCTGAGGCTGCAACAGTAATGGCCAGCTCCTGCTGCTATGTTCATACAACTTCTAGCTCCCTTTCTGACCAGAGTCCTTCCTAAGAGAAATGGTGTCTGCAACAGGAGACAACCCTGGGCCCCAGTCGGTGGCAAAGTTCGAGCCTCTACTATCATATCCACACAGCTATAAAGGCCTTCGTTGCCAGGCTATTGACCTCCTGGGACAAACAGGAATGTGAATGAATGCAATGACCTACTCTCTGCCGGGGAGGAGAGCTGGACCCCAGTGGGCCCAGATCTCAGACCAGTTGTGTAAAGGATCCGCAGTTCTGTGGGGAGCACAAGCAACCTCATCAGCTGGGAAAGTCAGAGAAAGGGCAGATGACAGCAACGGGAGTCGATCACAATGGCCAGCAGGCACAGATGACAGATTCTCAAAGCCAGACCCCAACTGACAGGACCAGAACCTGGGAGAGGTGCAGTCGGTCCTCTCCCCAAGTTGACCCGCAAAGCTTCAGTGTCTACCAGGCGGACATTTGTGGAGCTACTACGGCTCTGCTGCTGGCTTCAAAGGCCGGTCAGGTCTCCTGTGGGCCCTTGGATCAGGAGGCCAAGGCTCCCCCAAGGGCTCAAAGGAACTTCAACCCAGAGTGCTGCCCAGGGACAGCCTAATGCAGGTGCTACTGCTATGTGGTTCTTGCCGTCCGCGCCCCAGAGGTGAGACCAGCATCCCCCACGGAAGATCCAGCCTCAAGGCAGAGCCGCAGCGGCTTCTGCGGAAGCCGGCTCACCCACAGCTCCCACCGCGCCAGATGGCACCTCTGTGCTCCAGATGGGAGGACCAGCCTGGGGACCTGGCACCTGGTCGCCAAGCGCCTGAGGGGACTTCCGGGACCCTGAGGGCAGCTCGCCCTGGAGGTGGCACCTACCGACCTCTTGCGGCACCGGAGGGCACTCCCGTTCTGGCACCTAGCAAAGGCCCACCATGTCCCAGGAAACACTTCCAGTCATTTTCTAAAGGCTTCAGATTGGGGTCTGGGACGTCTCCCAGGAGCCCAGGCTGGCGACCCTATGTCTGCTCCATGCCCTCCCCACCCCACCGGCCCCAAACTCCTCAGGGTTTTGCACGCGTTGCTGCTCCCTGCCTGGAACGGTCCACTCCCTTTTTGTCCTAGGCCAGTGCCCTCCACTCTTTTCCGGTCACCTATTCACATTTCTCCCCACATCCTGCAGGCCGCAGGTCACAGGGCATCCTTCCCTTCTACTACACCAGCCCAACCCAGGCCCTGTAGCCTCAGGAAGCCCAAAAGACCCACAGATGGAGTCGAAACTCTTGGAGCAGCGGCTCTCATATCTTTGGCTTTGTCCAAACGGGACCTCCCCTCCTCCCCCAAATCAGGTCTCTGGTAGAGGACTCTGGAGTAAGGTCCTGGGGAGCACTGGGGGATATGGCTTTTCTCTATTTTCTTCTTCTTCTCCTCCTCCTCTTTTTTTTCGTACCAGGGATAGTACCAGCAGCACTTAACCACTGAGCCACACCCCCAGCCCTTTAGAGACACTGTCTTGATGAGTTACTTAGTGCCTTGCTAAATTGCTGAGGCTGGCTTTGAACTTGCAGTCCTCCTGGTGCTGCTAGGATTACAGGCGTGCGCCACCAGCCTGGCTGCTTCTCTGTTTCCTTAGCCAGCTAGACACAGACTTCTATGTTCACAGTCGAATTTATTCTCGCTGTGGCAAAACCCAGAGTCACTGCCAGCCCTGCTGGGATAACAACACAGTTATGCAGGTCCAAGATGGAGATGACAGGGGTGTGGACGTGAGGATGGCCTTAGGCCTGAACCTAAGCAACCCCAATTTATTTTTTACCTTTATTTTATTTATTTATTTTTACGTGGTGCTGAGAATCGAACTCAGGGCCTCGCACGTGCTAGGCGAGCTCTCTACCGCTGAGCCACAACCCCAGCCCCAGCAACTCCATTTTAAAACTCAAGTTTGAATCATGCAGTCTCACCAGGCACACCTAAAGGAGCCCTCCAGTATGGCCCTCAGCCACAAACAAGTCACTTCTTCCCACCCTAATAAACTCAGAGTGAAGCCTCTGGCAGGCTGTCCTCACCGATTAGAGGGAAAAGCGCTTGATAAGAGAGAAAGGTGGAAAGATTAGGTTGGGGACCACCAGACCAGTTGTCACTGAGAGATCCCAGTGGCAGTTGATAAGGATTGAAAGGGGGGTCAAAAGCCCCAAAATTTGGTATAAATAATAGAGCAAATGAACAGACATTCAGCCATCCAGCCAACAAGGATGTCCTCACTCTGTGAGCCTGATGAGGACCTGACACCCCAATACTTTTTGCCATTTGCTGATCCTCTGCAGTTTCCTCACCACTCTCAAACTTTACAACAACATCTTGACCCTGGTGATAGCCGCAACTTGTCCCTAGGACCCTCTCCTTAACTGGCCATCAGCTCCACCCCAGGAGAAGCCTGCCTTGGTTCCTGACCGGATCACCGCAGTCTGAGTGAGTGTGCATCTGCTGGACTTAAAGCCTAAGGCTTGAGAGGGTTTTTTTTTTATTATTATTTTTTTGTAGTTATAGATGAACACAATGCCTTTATTTTATTTGTTTATTTTTATGTGGTGCTGAGGATCAAACCCCATGCCTCATGCATGCTAGGCAAGTGCTCTGCCGCTGAGCTGTGTAGCCCAGCCCAAGGCTTGAGACTTTGGATCTGACACTTGAACATCAAGCACATCATGATTAAGTGTGTTTGCACTGCTTAGAATTAATCTAGAATTGTTTGCTGTGAATTGATTATGTCTATTGCAGTGCCTAGAATTAAGGATTGTTGTTTTCTTGATTAAGAACGCCTAGAGTGAAATTGTAGCGAGTGATGTGAGTGAATAAATCATTTACCAGGGCAGAAGCGTGGGCACATTCTTTATTTCTCCCCGTGGACTGCAGGAGTCGCATCTTTCGCCCAGAGCCACAGTGGGTGGGTATTGGTCTCTGCCCCCTCGTCTGGCCAGGTGGTCAGAGCTTCCAGGTTCCTTCACACACAGCCTGGTATATGTCTGCTGTCAGGGGCCGGAAGGCCTGGACCCGGTGGTCCAGTATGAACACGGGGTCAACGATGACACTCACATCAAAGCCCTCACGCACCAAACGGGGCTTCACCAATTTGAACGTGCTTGTGATCTCCAGTGCCTCCTACAGGGCGGTGACGGTGACGACGACTGTGAAACTCCTCTGTGAAACCCTGGGCCGCGATCCCTCACCCGCTTCTCGTGGCGGCCCGCCCTGGCTTACCTGGACACGGACGAAATGCGGGACGGCATACGCAGGGAGCCAAGCACGGACATGCTGATACAGCTTCTGCCCATCGAAAGTTTGGCCCGGAGCCAGCTGCACGGCAGCCATGCCCACCTTCCCCTCGCACCCTGGGAAGCACACTTGTCACTCTCGGCTGGCCCTCCAACCTGGCCAGTGCCTGTGACACTGGACATTAAGCCACTGTGTCACAGCAGTTCCCCTGGCAGAATCGAAATAACCACCCTCCGCCCACAAAGCTTTTGGAGGTTTAAAACAAGCAAACTCCTCGCACCTGGCACACCCACGCCGTAGACATTCGCTTCCTGCAGGAAGTCCACCCGCGACAGCACGCCCTCCACTTCCCTGGTGGAGACGTTCTCACCCTTCCATCTGCAGGGGCGGGAGCCGGGGCTTGGGACCACGCCCCCGGAGGCGGGAAGCCCCGCCTCCCCCTCGGCGCCGTCTCCTCCGGGTCCCTGGGGCCGCGAGGCCCCGCCCCCAGCCCGGCCCCGACCGGAAGGTGTCTCCCAGGCGGTCACGGAAGTAGAGGAAGCCTGCGCCGTCCAGGGCCAGGACGTCCCCGGTGTTGAAGTAAAGGTCGCCCCGGCGCCGCACGTCCCACACCAGTTTCCGCTTCGACTGCTCTCGGGGCCCGCGGTAGCCCAGAAAAGGGTGGCGGCCGAGGACCCGCGTCAACAAGAGACCGGCCTCCCCTGCAGGAGGAGGAGGAGAGGATACAGAGGGACGCAGGACCTCGGCCGCCGCCAGCCCCGCCTCAGTTTCCCCAGGGTGGTGGACTCTTCACCTGGCACAAACAGCGGGGAGACAGAAACCCGGGGAGGGAGAGCAGGGGTAAAGACCCCGGCGAGACGGGCACCGGCAGACAGACGCGAAGTACAGGGGCCTCGGGGAACCCGTGAGAAACAGGAAAAGCATGACAAGGGATGGGCAAGAAAAAAATGGCGGTGGGAAGACCGACACGGCCAGGTCCTGGCAAGGCCCCAGGAGAGAAGACAAGGAGGTACAGGACAGGGGACTGATGCCCGAGAGGCTGTGACCCCCGCAGAAAGCTCAGGAAAACAACTCAGACACCTGGAGACCCCATAGTGAGAGCAAGAGACTGAGGCAGGGGGCTGGCCCCAGGTGGTAGTCAGACAGCCCAGGGCCTGGGAGATCAGATGAGGGCTGCAGACACCCCCGGTTGGCACCGATCTGAAGGCTTTGGGCCGCTTGTCCCAGAGGTGGAGGAGGAGACTACAAGTGTCCACCAGGGTGTCCACTCCTCCAACAGCAGAGAAAACTACCTCCATACCTGGCTCCACAGGGATGCAGAAGCCCTGCTTGTCCCTCACAGGTTCCGCTGCCTCTGTGTCAAACTGCACAAGCTCAAAGGGAGACAGTACCTGGGGTGGAGGGTAGCGGGCATTGGCAGAGGTCCTCTGGGGTCAGCCTCAAGGCCACTGTAACCTGGGTGCCCTACCCACTCACTCGCAGGAGGCAGTTTGTCTTGCCCACAGCCCCACAGTGCCCCGGATAGTTCACAAAGCCCATGTTGCCCTCCGTGGAGCCATAGAATTCCCAAATCCGAATGGGACCGAAACGCTGCTGGAAGGTTTCCCACACATCTGCCCGTAGTCCATTGCCCATTGCAAGACGGACTGTATGTGTCTGGTCCTCTGGTCGCTGCAAAGACATCACAAGAAGAGTGAGGAGGAGACAGCATGTCCAGGAACCTTTTCCCAGGGGAGGGGGCTATCTTGGGTCCTTATCTTAGGAGTTATCCTGGGGGATGACCTGTAACTAGATCTACTTGGGATTGTTTTTTATTATTATTATTATTTTAGTTGTCAATGGACCTTTATTTTATTCATTTATATGTAGTTCTGAGAATCAAACCAGTGCCTCACAGGTACTAGGCAAGTGCTCTACCACTGCGCTTTGACCCCAGCCCCTACTTGAGGTTCTTCAGGATATTTATTGCCGAGTTACCTGTAGAAGTTACCTGAGAGCTTTGCCTCGGGAAAGTTACCTGGAGGTCGCTCCTAGGTTATCTGGAGGCCTACCTAGGTTGACTGCAGACCACATCCATCTGGGGGTCTTACTGGGGAGGAATATGTGGGGTCTCACCTGGGGGTAGTTACCTGGAACTCTGACCTGGCAGGGGTCACCTAAGGTAATCTATAAGGGAGCCTTACCTAGAAGGCTTACTCAGGAACCTTTATTTGAAGGTAACCAGGGGAGTGACTTAAAGCCTCATCTTGAGCAGTTACCTGAAGCCTTTCTCTGAGTTACCTTGAACCTTAACTGGGAGGGATACCTGGGGACCTTGCCTAGAGATAGTTACCTGGGAACCATACCTTATTGCTCTGTAGGAGGATGTGAGTTTGCCCTTGAGCTACACCCTGTCTGGGCACTTTACATATATTTAATTTATTTAATTTTGACAATACCCCCTCAGGTAGGGGCTATTCTTATCTATATTTTTCAAATGATGACACTGGTAAAGTCACCTGCCCAAGCTAATCATCAAAAGTTCCCCAACCTTGTGGATAATTCATTATACACAATGAATTACCTGAGGAACCTGGCTGAGTTCAACACTTGAATTTTCCCAGGGTGCTGGAGATGGAACCCCGGGCTTCACACATGCTAAATGCATGCTCTACCTTTGAGCTACACCCCATAGGACCAAAGGTGCCAACTGTCGGGAGCTGCCACATAGGAACCAAGAGCCCCTGAGCCTTGAGCCATGAGAATGTGGAGATGTGGCGAGCCAGCCGTGGGCTGTGTGTGTGAACTATGAGCACCGAGCACACAAAGTGGACTGAACCCACGTTGCCCCTCTGTTTGGGCGAGCTTGGCTCTGGTCTTTTCGCTGGCTCTGCCTGTGATCCCCACACAGCTCATGAGATGGGCATGGCCTTCCTAGATGTCAGTCGGCCTGCTGACAGTAGACAACACAAAGCTAGACTCAACCCCCTGGAACCTGACCCCTGGCCTCATTTGAATGGCTTCTCCCCAATAAAGGGTTCAGCATGTGCCTCTCTCTCTTTCCACAGACCTCTCAGGTCAGAGGAGCCATCACAAGACCCAAAGAAAAAGGTGTTCCTCTGTCTCTGTGCGATCATTTCATGCAGCCCAGTGAAATGATCCCTTCACCTGGAGTGACCTTGAGTGTTTAGCTGTGGGAGGAAACAACCAACCCCTACCAGTACCTGAATCTTGTCTAAGAATTCTACTTGGGATATTATCTGGGATTCCATGCCTGGAGTATTCAACATGAAACCTCATCCTAGAGCCTCACCTGGGGACCACCACACAGGTACCGCAGGATCTCGCCCACATACAGGATCACTGTCACACCATGCTGCCGGCAATCATTCCAGAAGCGGGAGGCAGAAAATTTGGGGGCCAGGACACAGGTGGCTCCTGGGAGGAAGAGAAGGAGTGAGTTTCAAATCATGCTTCCGAGTAACTGTGAGAAACTGCTTTGAATGTGCGATTGTGGCATGTTAGAACATAGGTCGATGTCAGTCTCATTTCTGTGTCTTGGCCCAGCAGGACTACTCCCCTGGGAAGAGTATAGGGAGGCCTGGATTCAAGTCTCGTTTCCAGAAGTGTGCAAAGCTCAGTACCTGGTATAAAGCAGACACTGCCAAATAGGGCTGGCGATGAATCATTCTCAGATTTGATAAGTGAATGACTAGTAAAGTAGATGGGTAAGTGGGAGGATGGGTATGGTGGGTGGGTGGAAAGGTGACTTGTGGGTAGATAGATTGGATGGGGAATGCATGGATGGATGGGTGGGTGGTGGCAGGGGTGGGTGGGTACCTGGATAGATGGGTGAATAGAAAGATGGATGGATAGGTGTGAGGGTGGATGAATGGACAGGTAAGTAGGTAGAGAGATGGATGGGAGAATGGGCGAGGAGGAAGGTGAGTCATTGGATGGGAGGTTTGGTAGGAGGGCATATAGTATTGGCAGATGGCACATGGATCAGTGATAATATTTTGGGGCCACTGTGTTCACTCCAGGAAAGTGATTCTTCCCTCCTGACCCCTATGTGGCATCTGGTTCATCATCCTGCACCCAAGGGGTAGCTGCTTGTGTGCCTGGTGAGGTAACAAACGTGTCTTCTCTGAGACTGTGTTTTTTGGGGAAAAGTAACAATGCTCTCTGTGAAAACACAACCCAGGTCACTGAAATTGGCAGTTTTGCTTCCAATCCCTAAGGAAACATCTGAATTGCAAAAGAAGCAACTAGGGAACCTTGATGGAGAGATTTCCCAGTCCATCTCAACCTCTCTAAGGCAGGTAACAGACATAAGTGCCCCCGGTGTGACAAAGGAGGAATCACCAGCCACCCCTCACCAAGATTCTTGTCAGAAATAACAGAAATCAGTGCTGGGGGTGTAGTTCGGTGGTAGAGAATTTGTTCAGTATGTCCGAGTCCCTAGATTCAAGCCCCAGCATGTGAACAAATAGCAAAACAAAGCAGAAACTGAACCTAAAAACCCTTTAGAAGGCCTTTTAATCTTACAGGAAATCTCGGAGGAAAGAGGAATGGACACCTAACAAGTAAACGAAACACGGAGACTTTAACTGTAAAAAAGCAATTGGGGAGGGCTGTGGTTGTGGCTCAGTGACAGAGTGCTTGTCTGGTGTGTGTGAGGCACTGGGTTCAATCCTCAGCACCATATAAAAATAAATAAAGTATTATGTCCATCTACAACTAAAAAAAAAAAAGGCAATTGGGGAAATTTGAATATGGACTTGACACAAAATAGTACTAAATGGTTACGGTTCTTTTTTTTTTTTTCTTTTTTAAATTTAGAGATGGGGTCTGGCTAAGTTACTTAGGGCCTCACTAAGTTGCTGAGGATGGCTAAGTTGCTGAGCCCTGGTACCACAAAACAAACAAAAAAGTCTAGAATTTCCTCTAAAATAATCTGAAAAGAAGAGTACATATAGAAATAAAACTGGCACCATGTTGACAACTGTTGAAGGTGGGCGAGGATATATAAGACACCAGCAAATTATCTGTACTTTTGTGTGTTTGAAATTTTCCACAAGAAGCTGGGCATCATGGCACACACCTGTAGTCCCAGCTGCTCAGGAGGCTGAAGCAAGATATTCTCCTGAATCCAGGAGTTCAAGACAAGTCTGAGTGGCTTAGCAAGCAAGATTCTGTCTCAAAAATACACACATTTAGGGCATAGAGTTGTGGCTCAGTGGTAGAGCGCTCGCCTAGCACATGCAAGGCCCTAGGTTCAATCCTCAGCACCACATAAAAATAAATAAAACAAAGGTATTGTGTCCAATTACAACTAAAAAAAAATTAAAAATACATATATTTAAGCCAGGCAGGGTGGCGCATGCCTGTAATCCCAGTGGCTCAAGAGGCTGAGACAGGAGGATTGTGGTTCAAAGCCAGCCTCAGCACAGTGAGGTGCTAAGCAACTCAACTCAGTGAGACCCTGTCTCTAAATAAAATCCAAAATAGGGCTGGGGATGTGGCTCAGTGGCTGAGTGCCTCTGAGTTCAATCCCTAGTACAGACAAACAAACAAACAAACAAACATGTATTTCTGTGATAAAAATGTTTATATGGGCTGGGGATGTGGGTCAAGTGGTAGCGTGCTTGCCTAGCATGTGTGAGGCACTGGGTTTGATTCTCAGCACCACATAAAAATAAAATAAAGATATTGTGTCCACCTAAAACTAAAAAATAAATATTTTTTAAAAATATTTATATATAAGCTAGACACAGGGGAACATGCCTATAGTCTCAGCGACTGGGGAGACTAAGCCAGGAGGATTGTGAGTTTGAGGCCTGCATCAGCAAATTAGTGAGAATGTGTCTCAAAAGCAAAAATAAAAAGGACTGGAGTATAGCTCAGTGAGTTTAATCCCCAAGCAACACACACACACACGAGAACCTGGGGTACTGGGTTGTCGCCGTGAGCACCCTACCCTGACACCCACTCCAATGGTTCCACTGATTGGAGGGATTTTCAGAGAAGGGCTTACCAAGCTCTAAGCAGCTGAGGATCCCAACAACAAGCCCCATCACATGGTACAAAGGCAGGACACTGTAGACCACATCATCAGCAGTGGCCCCACAAAAGGGCAGCATCTTGGTCATCTGTAGTACACGCTCATGTGAGAGGATGGCTGGCTTTGGGAGCCCTGGGGAAGGAAGGAGTGGGAAGGTGAGTGGTGAAAGGCTAGCACGGAAGAGCCCAGAACAGAGGGGCAGCTCTCCAGTCAGGCACTGGGCTTCAGGCCTCAGAGGGGTCAAGTGGGAATTTGTGGCTGCATTCCGAGGCTGAATTCCAATAGGGAGTAATAGGTAAAGACTAACGGTCAGTAGGGTTTCAGTTCTACTTATTGGACAGAGGCAGGATTTCTGCATTGACCACCCAGATCACACTGGGAATCAGAGTCAAGACCAGATGTCTGAATCAGAAGGCAGGTGTCAGAGGACAAGTGGCAGGCACAGGACAAGTCAGGGTTGTGTAAGAGGCGGGGCTGGGGCTGAGGGGTACCCTCACCGGTGGTCCCTGAGGTGTAGATGAACAGGGCAGGGCTTTGCCATGTGACCTCAGCACGCAGGTCAGCAGGCACTGGGTCAGAAGGAGCAGCCTCCAGGGCAGCCCCCAGAGCCCCCACACCTGGCGTAGGGGAGACATGACTGAGGTAGAAGCAGCGGATGTTCTCAGCCTGCAGCTCAGGAAGGACTTCTTCCAGGTTCTCTTTAAGATCTGCAGGAATGGCCAGAGGAAAACTGAGGCAAAGCTTACCTGTGAGGTCAAGCGGGGTACCCAAGACCCAGAGGCAGACAGCAACTAGCATTCTTGGGCAAAGAATTCCATAATTAGTAATTTTATTTCTTTTTTGCAAAGAAGGATTGAAACAGTAATTTTGGAAAAATCACAACCATTGGCCCCAGGATTAGTTTCCAATTATGCCAACTTTTGACCCTAATTATCTGTGACATGAGCAGACGGGAGCAAAGGGCTCTCTTCCCACCCCCCACCAGAACTTCTGACCTTCAGTCCAACCCTTGCCCCTATCCCCTTCCCTCCTCCACTGGCCCTGGGGCCCTCACCTGTGTCCACTACCAGCAGCTGTGCCCCAGAGCTCAGCACAGAGTGCACCAGGGGTGTCCCCCGGACATGTGGGTTGATCCAAGCCACTGGGCAGCCCAGTTTGGCCAGCCCCAGCCACACGGTCAGAGCAGGAATGGCCTGGGAAGTCAGTACCAGGAGGGCAGCTGGCTTCCTGACACCCAGGCCTGTGGGTTTGCCCAGCTCATTCTTAAGGGCCCATGCTGCCTGGCAGGCCCGGGCATCTAGCTCACCAATGGTGACCGAGCAGGCCCCGTGCCCTGTCCACACCAAGGACACCCGACCAGGTTGTGCTCTTGCTTGTCGCTCGAAGGCATCCACAAAGGTGTCGGGAGGCTGTCGGCTCAACTGTGTCCTGATGTTCCATCCTAGGTAGAGGATCTTGGCCAAGTAGGCCATATCTGCAGGCAGCCAGCGTAGCCCTGGGGGTGGCCGTGCAGGCGATAGAATCAGGGTCAGAAGCACAGCCACCAGGCTCAGCCAGTGGGACATCCAGAAGCTGATCCAGGGCTGTGCCAATACCACCAGGCCAAGCAGCAGGAAGCAGGTAGGGTCTCCCAGGAGCCATCGCAGGGTCAGTGCCACAGCCGGTAGCCATATGGGCTGCTCCAGACCCCACAGCAGTAGCAGCAAGAACAGCAGAAAGGCCAGCCACTGCCTGATACCCATGGCACCAGCTCTGTCCTTGGAGAAGTGGCTGTGGAAGGCACTCACCTCTGTCCCTGGGTTTCCTGGCCTTGGCCTCCTGCCCTCAGAGCAGCCCGTCCACCCCTCCCCCAGATGATGGCCCAGGCACTGACAGTGGCTGCCCCGCCCTTGGCTCTTTTCCTCCTATTTGTTTTCTCTTCTGGTCTTGTGTACAGTCCCAGCCCTTCTGGCCTGTTTACCAGGCCTGTCCCCCTCTCTGCTGCAGGCCTCAGGGCCCCCAGGTCTCTCTTCTTGAGCACAAATGCCAGTCTCCTTTCTGCTTGTCCTGCTTATCTAGTTCTCTTTCCAGTGTGGGGACAAGTATATGGAGTACTGCATACATGGCATACGTTAAGGGTGTTGAGCAGCAGACCACTTACCCCATAGGCGCAGCCCTGGGTGTGAGGCCCTGTGTGGCAGTCCCTGTGCTTGCTCCGTGGCCCACTCCTAGATTGGTCGCTGCAAGAATAGTTGGCAGAAATTGCATGGGTGGCTGCCTGTCATCTGCTTAGCCACTGCCTGAGTACCTGGTAACTGTGCAATAAAATCAGACCTGCTGCCGGCTTGGTCTCCGGAGGTCTGGATTAGCGACTCTGCAGCCACCCTCTATTCTATCCTGTTCCATGGACCTCCTTGCTGGACGAGAGAGCCCAGGCATTCCAGGGCTGGGAACTGCCTCCTTCCCCTTCCATCCATGCTTACTATATTCTAGGCATTTGGGAGACAGTCAGAAATCCCGGCACTGGAAGTGTTTCATTCAAGTCAAATGGAAAAGCTTCAGACGCTCTGCTGACCTCACTGGGTGGTCCTCCTGCAGTACTCACTGACCCCTTGGGGAGATGAGGTTCTGCTGGGTCAAGCCTCTTGTTCCCAGTGATCAGGCCTCCCTAACCTCCTTCCAGGTGCACAGCAAGAGCTCAGAAAATGAACACCTGCAATGCCTGAACTCAAGCCTAGCTGTCCACCACAGGCCTGCACTGGGACTCTGCCTCACCCCCACATCAACAGGGATTGAGCTTGGGGTTCAGAAGCTGAACTCTTCCTGTGATGTGTGGTTTCCCCTTGCCTCTGGAGGCAGTGACAAGTAGGACTAGGGCATGGCCCTGCTGGCTGTAACCCCCTGCACTGGATCCAAATCCTTAAAGCAGGGTACCCAATCCAGGAGCTGTCAGTGCACTGGAGGTGGGAGAAGGGGGAGTGTGACCCCTCTGGGTTGGCAGAGGTCTGATGTGCAAGGTCCTGTGACATCATCTTAATGGGGGTGGCCACCTTCATCCACCCAGCCCTGGGGTCTCTGGCTGTTCTTGCACCTTCCCCCAGGGCCAACTAATTCACACTGCACTCTAGTACCTGGCACCCGGGAACAAAGGTAGGTATCCTGGGCTCACATACCCTGAAGCAGCCTGGCTCCAAAGGACCCCCTGGGTGAGTTTTGTGGTGCCCCTCATTTCAGACGGAGGGCCTGGCCTACAGCTCTGAGTGAACTGACCTTCAGTCATATATGCAACTCACCCTAGATACCCAGAACAGAATCCCATGGCAGGGTGCTGCCCAGAAACGTGGATGCCGAAGCCTGATGTTCCTAGCCCAGCCAGTCTACAATGGCAGTGTGCACTGACCAGACTCTTTTATTATAGAGTGAGAAGTGAGAGTTCCAAGGTCTGACCTATTCCATGATGGGTCCATCTGGGCTTTCTCAGGCCCTGGATGAGGAAGGGGTCGTGCCAAGTGGGGCCCAGGGTCATCATTCAACCAATATTCAGACAGAGCTGTATCCCCACCCTACAGCTAATGGGAGGCGCGCGCAAATCAACACCCGAGATTTAAACCCGGACCCAGTTCCTCGGGCCTGTGAGCCTACTTTCAGACGGGAAATGGTCCAGTTCTTAGTGGCCAGGTCTCTGACTGTCCCCTTTGTGGACCTTGCCCTACCTAGAGGGTCCAAGGACGTGGAAGAGAGGAGTGATAGGCTGGGCCCCAGGTTCAGTCTGGAGAAAGGGATAGGGCAGGGAAGAGTGGAGTGGCGGTCACGGACCGCAGCAGTAGCCAACTGCCGTGGGGGCGCAGTCGATTCCTGGTGCGTGTGGCCAGATCCCGCGTCAGGTGGCAGGGTGCGCTGCCAGGTGGCGCTCCAGCAGCGCTCTGTGCGAGAAGACCTTGCCACAGGCCGGGCAGGGAGCACGCTCCGGCCGGTGTGTGCGCATGTGCACATTGAGGGAGCTCTTCTGTGTGAAGCGCTTGGCGCAAACTGCGCACTGGAAGGCGCGCACGCCAGTGTGCGTGACCATGTGCTTGAGCAGGTAGTCGCGCAGCGAGAAGGATCGCCAGCACACTGCGCACTGGTGTGGCTTCTCACCTGGGGACAAGGAGGGCAGAACATGCGTCAGACCACTCAGCTCTCCCAGGCACCCGTTACGGCAGGGGCTCTGGTCCTCTCCCCTCCCTAAGTAGCCATGACCCCCCAGGATTAAGTGCCTGTCAGGGAAACTCCCCAATTCTGGAGTCCTCCTGCTCCACAGCGAGCCCCTCTCCTGGACCCACACCTTCATCCAAGGGTGCCGTTGTCCGGCAAGTATGCCCCAGCAGGGAACCCTGCCCTGGAATATCCACTTGTGTCTGGACTCCCCACTAGGAGCTCCCTGGACTTTCACTGGGCCTATACAGGTAGAGCCTTCTGAACTCTCTGACTGCCAATCACCATTCTTTTTTCCTTTTTTATTTTGTGGATTGAGTCCAGGTGTGCTGTGCGGCTGAGCTACATCTCCAGCCCTTTTTTTCTTGGAGGGGTGCACCACAGATTGAACTCAGGGACACTCGGCCACTGAGCCACACCCCCAGCCCTATTTCGAATTTTATTTAGAGACAGGGTCTCACTGAGTTGCTTCGTGCCTCACCATTGCTGAGACTGTCTTTGAACTGGAGATCTTCCTGTTTCAGCCTCCCCAGCCACTAGAATTACAGATGTGCACCCCTGGCCAACCTTTTTAATGTATCTTTTTAATGTATCTCACTAAGTTGCACAGACTAGCCTTGTGATTCTCCTGCCTCAGCCTCCTGAGTTGCTGAGATTAAAGAGGTGTGCCATTGCACCCCGCTTTGCCAGTTACTATTTTAAGGACAGTCTAGTAAGGCCCAGCATGCCTGGGCAAGGAGAGATCAGGACACATCTGCCCCTTCCTGCTGGAATCCCCAGTCAGAATCCTGACTGTTGCCACTACACTGTCCCCAGGGTGAGAGGCTGCACTCATCACCCTGGACTGCAGGGGAGGCAGACTGTGTTGGGCTCTCCAGTCATCATGCATTGACAACGTTTACCTCCGCACCAAGGGACTGCAGGGCAGCGCCTGCTGGGGTGGGGTGAGGGTGACTGTCTCCAGACCAACCAGGCTTGGGCACTTGGCTTAGGTCACACATGTCTTGCAAGGTTGGCACTACCTTGGAGTCCTGGCAGCATTCTGCATGCCAATCACCCAGCTCCCGTGTGTCGGGTAGGATAGCTTCCCTATCCTCCCAGGGCAACCAGATGGAGATTTTGAGCTGTGACATCTCGGTCACTCCCCAACTGAGACAACACCGACGGCTTTCCCAGGCCTCGGAGTCAAATCCCAAGTTCTGGCCCCTGAAGAGCCTCTGGCTTCACTCCCACTGTAATGGTTGTGGTTTTCCTGACAATGGTCAGCTCTGCCGGCTGGCCAGCTTCTGCTTTTCATACTCCTGTCCCAACCCAGTCCCCTAGAAACAACCTTACCCAGGACCTACCCACCACCACCCCAGGCCACCTTCCTGCTCTGCTGCTCCCTGGCCAAGATGAGAAGGAAGTTCCCCATGGTCTTTGAGGCCTGGTTCCCCTCTAGGGGCCTGTGCGGTTCACATACTGTGGCCATGTCTTCTCCCAAAACTCTAGCCCAAAGGGCTACTCCTCAGCCTTCATTCAGCTGCCCCTCTGCCAGCTTCCCCCACTCTTCCTAGGTCAGGGAACACACCCGACTGTACCTCAAGCCCCAACCACCTAGTGAACAGCTGGAGAGATGTAGGAGACTACCTGGAGCTCTACCCCCATACCCCAATCCCTGCTCCATCTCTCCTGCCCCCCTCCAGGCTCCACCACAAACTTTTCAAAGGCCTGGATTTACAGGTGTGCACCCTATCCAGGCTCAGGATTCCCCATCCCCCAAAACAGGAGGGGAAGACACAGGCAAGAGTACCTATTACTCACACGAGACTCCCCCCACATGCCTCATATTTGGAGGGTTCAATTTCCAGCCCCCCTGGGGTAACCAAAAGCAACAAAACCACACCAGTGCCCAACTGCCCCTAGGGCTCGAATCTCCAATGACCAAGGGGCTGAGAAAGGTGGTCCTCCCGGATCCCCTTGGCTCACCAGAATGGATGAACATGTGCTTGGTGTAGTTTTTCCGAGAGCTGAACGTCTTACGGCAGTGACTACACTCGTAGGCAGGCTGCTCTGCTCCGGGAACACGTACGGGGGTACCTGAAGGGGCACTGGCAGGCACCACAGGCGGGGCCAGGGCTTCCCCAAGCTGAGCGCTGGGGGCGGCCTCAGGCTGGAGTGCAGGGTAGAAGGTGGATGTGGGTGCAGGAGCTGGCCCTGATGGTGTAGGAGGGGTTGGCTGGGGTGGCCCCGGCGTGCCCAGGTGAAAGGGGAAAAGTGCTACAGGCATTCCTGAGGTTTTCACGCCAGGCACACGGGGTCCTGCCAGGGAGCAGTCCGGTGGGGCAGGGGTCTCAGCAGGACAGCCTTCTGTGGCAGTGCCGCCCTCCTCGTGCCAAGCAGATACATAGCTTTCTGGAAACACGTCCTCGGCCACCACAGCCCCGCGAAGGAAATCTCTGCCTGCACTGCCATAGTCAGTGAGGCCAGCAGGTGCAGGTGGGTCCTCTCGAGCGCTGTCCGCAGCAGCAGTGAGGAAGCCAGTTGCACAGTCAGGGAAAGAAGGGGGCGCCTGGCCCTCACCTGGGCCACCACCTTCACCATCCTCGCCGTCGGTTTCGCCATCGGTGTCCTCCTCATCCTCACCTCTATCCTCAGGGACTGGAAGTACTGGGTCTGCATCCGGACCCTCTATCTTGGCTGGGAGTGCAGGCAGCTGAAGACGTGCAGGCTGGCGCTGCTTGCGGCTATGTGCTACACCAGGGTGCCCAAGGGGTCGTGCAGCCAACAAGTGACGCAGGCGGTGGCGCAGCTGTGCAGGTGCCAGCGGTGGGGGCACCGGTGCTGGCAGGGGGGCTGGTGCAGGGGTTCCTGGGGCACGAGCACGTGCGATAATCTGTGTGCACTCATCTATTACTGTCTGGATGCGAAGCACGGATGCAGCTGTGAGCACCTGCAGAGCCTCACCCTGTGCCACCACAAGGGAGCCGCTATAGAGGAACTCAACCAGCTGGCGCACAGTCTGTGCAGGCACCACTGGTGGCACGCGGATCTCCGAGTGGCCAAGCAGCAGCTTGTCCTGAAAGAAGGGGGAGCCTGCAGCCAGTACGCAGCGGTGTGCTCGCAAGGAAGCCTCACGGATGCGCACAGTTACATCACAGAAGTGCCCACCAAGCCTCTGTCCATTGAGGGTCTCAAGCAGTGATCGAGAAAAGTTCTGCAGGTGGATGTGGTGCACTGCCTCCGCAGCCGCCATCTACATAGGACAACAGAACCGGGAGAGGAGGTCAGCCCAGGACTCTCCTCTCCCAGTGTTCAGGTCTCCTCAGCCCTTAATTTGTAGCAGGGCAGGGCCAAGGGTGCACTGCACTCTAGACCTTGCCCACCCCGTATCTCCCCAGCAGCCCCTCACAGTCCTGGTTCACAACACACAGGACTCAGCCACCTCAAGTCTTCTTCTGCAATGCCCTCTGCCTCCACAGCCCCCAACATCCCTCTGGAAAAGGGTTAGGCATATCAGTTCCCAGGTGTTCCCCCAGCCCTGAAGGTGCAGGGCTTACCTCCTCCTCTTCTTGGCCCACTCCACCCCAATTAAAATATCCTTAAGTAGCCAGGTGCGGTGGTGCATACCTGTAATCCCAGCCACTGGGGAGGCTGAGGTAGGAAGACCTCAAATTCAAAGCCGCCTCGGCAACTTAGCAAGGCCCTAAGAACTCAAGGAGACCCCATAACTACATAAAATATGAAAAGGGCTGGGGATGTGGGTCAGTGGTTCAGTGCCCCTGGGTTCAACCCCCAGTTATATCTATATATCTCCATCCATCCTTAAGTAGCCTCCACTCTCCCTCTGAATGTGTAGCTCTGTGTAGAGGAGCTAGGAACCCCCATTTAGGACCAGCTGCCCTGCCTCACTTAGCAGATCTTCATACAGAAACACTAGCCAGTGTTCATTCAGCTAGTTGTGGCCCCCACTCTGCCTCTTTTCCTTTTTTTCGGTCTTCCCTTTGTACTTCTCAATCTTACTGCAGCTGATTTCCTGTGCTGACCCAGGAATGCTGCACCAGAATGGGGTTACATTAACTG